AAGTAGATAGTTGCGAGGCTGTACCATCCATGCGAATCTCATAAACAATGCAGAATAAACGCACATTGCTGCAGAACCAAATCCAAATTAAATTTACTCCTGCCACATAATATATACTGAAAATAACTTACATCCTTGAAAACCAGTTATTTTGGACCTGCTGTCATGTTGCCAGAAATCATTTCTGGAGGTTTGTTCATATCCGCCAATCCCTGTTAAATCAACCCGTTATGATCAGAATTAGTCAAAAACCAAGAAACCTCATTTGAAATCAAATGCATTTTAGAAATTATGGAAGTGAAGCATACAGCGGCAACGAAGCCCCAGTTTGCAACAGGTCCCCAAAAGTGAGTTGTTTTTGGACCAACTGGACTGTTCAAGAATGCTCGGAACGACGACGCCATATTTGATAACTGCCGCTTAGAATCTCTGTAAAGTTGGAAGAAGAAAAAGACAATTCAACAATGACAAGATACAGTGCCAGCAGCACATATGGGTAAAATCTGAACATAGGCCTTGTTTGGCATGCAGGATTGGATAGGATTATTACATAGTACTATATTATACGGGATCATATTTAACATCTTTAATCCTATCTTATGATTGGTGTTACATGGGATAAAGAAGTTGGATAATGCTAAAAATTGCTATTTCAGACATGAAAATTGAACACTGGCTAACAAACAAACTTTTCAACTGAGGAGCTAGCTAATCAGGGTGTTTTAACTTGAAACCAGTTGACCATACTAGCTTTGCCAAATTCTTAACTCCCGGAGATGACCCCAACCGATATCATATAGCAAGTATGCTAACACATAAACTCACTGTGAGAAGGAGTTTGCCTATTTCACAAGCTCTTTTTTTTTTTTTAATCCCAGCAATTGGGTTAATGCCGGACTCGGAGTCGATGAGGAGGGTTGTGGTGGGCGCGGGCGCAGAGGATTGGAGGAGGGAGAGAGCGAAATGGGTGATGGAGAGGGGTTGGGAGAGAGGCGGGAGTGGGAGTGGAGGTCGGAGAGTGTGGAAAGTCTTGGTTTGTGGACAGTAGCCGCTCTTTGGATGGATCCTATCCCTATGGTTGGGATTTGTTTCGTCCGCCATGGTTGATTAGAATTGGAGCTCAGCCACAGCCAGACAGTATCATGGTAGGTAGGTGGATCTTGAGGACCTTAGTGTTAGCATACCTAACTTAATTTTTATAATTTTGCGTGTGATCATGTCTTAACACTAAAAAACACAAACGCAAATGACTAACTAATTTGCTTGGTATTAAATTAACAAAGAAAATCCAGCGTTATTATTAAAATTAATAAATTAATTACTAGTAGTTAATTACACAAACATGATCCATACTTTGTCGGCCTATATATAAATACACATTGTCTTGATTCTCAAGAAACTCTGTATCGGATTTCAGTGTCGGATTGGGAATGAAACGAAATACGTAATAATATGTTGCATGGTGCTTTGCGAGATGGGTGAAGCCTGCCACAAAGAATTGGTGAATGCAGGCAGCTCTTGCACAACCTCCTCCCGAGTCCCAACGTAAACAAAACCAAGGCTTTGAATATTAGTACATCACAGTGGGCCTTTTATGACTCCGTATGACTATTTCTCATCGATCTTTACCAAAATCTCCCCACATTATTATATCTTCAAACTAAATAAATGGGAGGCTTTGGGGTCGGTGGCTTCCCATACCCCTTTCTTGCCCCTGCTTTCTTCTTGCTTCTTTTGATTTTTTTTTATAAAATGTTTTTCTTTACTGCATACTTGGTTGTGGCTGGGTTTGATCCCGTGGGACTTTCACAACAAAGTTTGTGGCAGAGAGTGGAGGACAATTAGAACGACAAGTTTCAGAACTAAGGGTTTATTTCTCATCCGATTTTCGTTATTCTCCCATACCTTGACAGACCATGATGCTCTTCTCTCCTCTTGGCATATCTGGATGACTTTGGTTGTGCATCAATTGTAGAGCAAAGTGTTGATGTTCCTTTAGCCAGTGTTGTTTGGTTTCTAAGATTTGGTGTAGTTTGTTATTAAAGTTCAGAAACTCTATGAGTTGTCTAGTTTTCTCTTGTAATCCCCAAAAATTTTGTTGAATTTGCTAAGTGGTCTAGTTTCTCTAGGAGAGTTATGCCGGTTAGCCGCCAGGTTTTGTCCTTAAAGTAACTGACTTGATCTAGGACAACTTAGACAGTAGATAGGGGTTTTTTTATACAAGTTCTTTGCTATTTATTTTCTTAAGATTATTTCAGCTGTAGAGTTGACTCTAAAGTTTACCCATGTCCGTCGTATTGCTAATCTATATGGCTCTCTATGTACTTTTTAATTGATCTAATAAAATATTATCACTTGTTAAAACTATTAACACAAATCATTAACTACTTTGTTTGGTATTGATTTAACAAAGAAAGCCGAATAATGGACGAATAACGTCATTAGTGAAATGAATTAGTTTAACTTACTCATGAGTTATATGACGCTTGACAGATCAATTGGAAATAAATTCATCATCAATACTTGGCCGATAAATACACTTTGTTTGCCATCAAAATCCAAATCAAAATCAAAAGAAAAGTAATAGAATTCTACAAAATAAAAATAATGGCAAGTCTCGACAATACAATTTTGGTGTTGGTGATTGGAACAATAATGATAATAATAAGCTCATCACCACCTGCAGCCGCAGAAGTTGCAGCACCAGCCTCAACCTCAACGACAGTTTCTCTATCGGAATGCCGCAAAAGAATTCACAATAACTGTGGAAACATAATACATAATAACGTGCTGTATGGTGACGATTTTGACCAGGAAATGATCTGTTGCATTGAGCTTTCACAGATGGGTGACGCCTGCCATAGAGCCTTGATCGATGCAGCCCTTGCTCAAGCTCCTCAACAAGTAAACAAATCAAGGCATGGAGTATTAGTAGAGCCCAATGGAAAATTTGTGATTATTGGACTCAAGCTCTTCCAACATGGTGGGGGTTAAGGGACTATTATATCTCATCCTTACCCCGATTTTTTCCTAAATAAAAGTGATTATTGGCCTATCCAAAATCACTCCAAAACGAGCCCTAAATACTGTAAACAAAAATATTTCTGATTCATCTAGTTTTATTTATTTTTTGCAAGGATGATCTACAAAAACACGTTGATATTAAAACTGAGTGGTTGAAGAAACATTATTATTAAAATAAATAAATTAGTAGTTTAACGTTTTGAGAGATGTCTCCAATTTTGCTATATTCTTAAGTCACAGTCCCTGATTTCTTCCAGAAGTTTTTATTTATTTAAAATCAGGGGTATTGTTCCCTCAGTGCATACAGTTATGGATCTTTTTTCAATTATTGTCTACTGTTGGGTACAACAAAAGGAAATGCAAGCATGAGATCCTTCGAAGTGAAGTGAATAAACCAACCGCTGAAGTTGCTTCTACTGGTTCTTCAAGAACATGGAGTGTAGGTGGTGGTGGCAGTGTCTTATGTTTTCGGCAATGAACCAGGAAGGGAATGAAAGAAGCTGCAAGCTACTCAGACGCCGGTTCATCCTTCTTCTGGGTAAAGTACCTATAATAAAGCAAGCAAATAACAATAAATCTAAGGATATTGTGTTTTAGGCAATTGACAACTCAACTAAAGAAAGGAATTTGTCATTTTATCATATATTTAAAATAAAATTGATGATAAAATCAGCTAGTCACTCACCCCTGACCCCTTGCCCAGCGAGAAAGTTGATAGAGTTGGACAGTCTCATTTGAGACATGGCATGCCAAAAGTAGATAGTTGCGAGGCTGTACCATCCATGCGAATCTCATAAACAATGCAGAATAAACGCACATTGCTGCAGCACCAAATCCAAAGTAAATTATACTCCTGCCACATAATATATACTGAAAATAACTTACATCCTTGAAAACCGGTTATTTTGGACCTGCTGTCATGTTGCCAGAAATCATTTCTGGAGGTTTGTTCATATCCGCCAATCCCTGTTAAATCAACCCGTTATGATCAGAATTAGTCAAAAACCAAGAAACCTCATTTGAAATCAAATGCATTTTAGAAATTATGGAAGTGAAGCATACAGCGGCAACGAAGCCCCAGTTTGCAACAGGTCCCCAAAAGTGAGTTGTTTTTGGACCAACTGGACTGTTCAAGAATGCTCGGAACGACGACGCCATATTTGATAACTGCCGCTTAGAATCTCTGTAAAGTTGGAAGAAGAAAAAGACAATTCAACAATGACAAGATACAATGCCAGGGGCACATATGGGTAAAATCTGAACATAGGCCTCGTTTGGCATGCAGGATTGGATAGGATTATTACATAGTACTATATTATACGGGATCATATTTACCATCGTTAATCCTATCTTATGATTGGTGTTACATGGGATAAAGAAGTTGGATAATGTTTAAAATTGCTAGATTGAGCCAGTCAGATATATAATAATTGAGCCAAATCATTGTGATTTAGCCAAACGCAAAGACTTGGATTTGTCTGCTTTTGGAGGAGGTGGTGCAAGAAGAGCTGCACTGCATTGACCAAGTCTTGTTTATCCATTTGTTTGCTATTCATCAACGGTTGGTTGGAACTTGGAAGTCGCTAATTTGACCTTAGTGTTAGTATACCTAACTTTATTTTTATAATTTTGCGTGTGATCATGTCTTAACACTAAAAAACACAAAATCACCAACTCAACTAATTTGCTTGGTATTAAATGAACAAAGAAAATCCAGCGTTATTATTAAAATTAATAAATTAATTACTAGTATAACGTTTTGTGATGAGTTAATTACACAAACATGATCCATTGTCTTGATTCTCAGTCTCCAACACTCAAGAAACGAAATGCGTAATAATATATATGTTGCATGGTGCTTTGGGAGATGGGTGAAGCCTCCCAACGTAAACAAAACGAAGGCTTTGAATATTAGTACATCACAGTGGGCCTTTTGTACTACTTGGCTTTATGACTTCGTATCACCATTTCTCATCGATCTTTATCAAAATCTCCCCACATTATTATATCTTCAAACTAAATAAATGGGAGGCTTTGACGAATTTTATCAACACAATTATGTGTTTATTTTACATCTTAGTGATCAATTTTGATTATATATTTGAAAGCAATACAATTAAAAATGTTCATCTCTCTCAGTACCACTACAATCTAAATCATTCAGTTTGTTTGGTTAGTTATGATCAAAGAAATTTAGCAAAATTGGTCAAAAGAAATCAGCAATCAAGCAATCAACCTGCTATGGCTTCTAAAATGCACCCAAAATAATATAGTTCATCCTTCTAAAAAACCAAAAAACTCAGAAAGAAAACAAGTGAAGAAATCCTTTGGGGTCGGTGGCTTCCCATACCCCTTTCTTGCCCCTGCTTTCTTCTTGCTTCTTTTGATTTTTTTAAATAAAATGTTTTTCTTTACTGCATACTTGGTTGTGGCTGGCTTTGATCCCGTGGGACTTTCACAACAAAGTTTGTGGCAGAGAGTGGAGGACAATTAGAACGACAAGTTTCAGAACTAAGGGTTTATTTCTCATCCGATTTTCGTTATTCTCCCATACCTTGACAGACCATGATGCTCTTCTCTCCTCTTGGCATATCTGGATGACTTTGGTTGTGCATCAATTGTAGAGCAAAGTGTTGATGTTCCTTTAGTCAGTGTTGTTTGGTTTCTAAGATTTGGTGTAGTTTGTTATTAAAGTTCAGAAACTCTATGACTTGTCCGGTTTTCTCTTGTAATTCCCAAAAAATTTGTTGAATTTGCTAAGTGGTCTAGTTTCTCTAGGAGAGTTATGCCGGTTAGCAGCCATGTTTTGTCCTTAAAGTAACTGACTTGATCTAGGACAACTTAGACGGTAGATAGGGGTTTTTAGACAAGTTCTTTGCGATTTATTCTCTCTAGATTGTTTCAGCTCTAGAGTTGACTCTAAAGTTTACCCATGCCCGTCGTATTGCTAATCGATATGGCTCTCTATGTACTTTTTCAATTGATCTAATAAAATATTATCGCTTGTTAAAACTATTAACACAAATCATTAACTACTTTGTTTGGTATTGATTTAACAAAGAAAGCCGAATAATGGACGAATAACGTCATTAGTGAAATGAATTAGTTTAACTTACTCATGAGTTATATGACGCTTAACAAATCAGTTGGAAATAAATGCATCATAAATATTATCACTTGTTAAAACTATTAACACAAATCATTAACTACTTTGCTTGGTATTGATTTAACAAAGAAAGCCGAATAATGGACGAATAACGTCATTAGTGAAATGAATTAGTTTAACTTACTCATGAGTTATATGACGCTTAACAGATCAATTGGAAATAAATTCATCATCAATACTTGGCCGATAAATACACTTTGTTTGCCATCAAAATCCAAATCCAAATAAAAATCAAAAGAAAAGTAATAGAATTCTACAAAATAAAAATAATGCCAAGTCTCAACAATACAATTTTGGTGTTGGTGATTGGAACAATAATGATAATAATAAGCTCATCACCACCTGCAGCTGCAGAAGCAGAAGTTGCAGCACCAGCCTCAACCTCAACGACAGTTTCTCTATCGGAATGCCGAAAAAGAATTCGCAATAACTGTGGAAACATAATACATAATAACGTGCTGTATGGCGACGATTTTGACCAGGAAATGATCTGTTGCATTGAGCTTTCACAGATGGGTGACGCCTGCCATAGAGCCTTGGTCGATGCAGCCCTTGCTCAAGCTCCTCCACAAGTAAACAAATCAAGGCATGGAGTATTAGTAGAGCCCAATGGAAGATTTGTGATTATTGGACTCAAGCTCTTCCAACATGGTGGGGGTGAAGGGACTATTATATCTCATCCTTACCAGCCATAAATACTGTAAACAAAAATATTTTCTGATTCATCTAGTTTTATTTATTTTTTGCAAAGATGATCCACAAAACACATTGATATTAAAACTGCGTGGTTGAAGAAACATTATTATTAACATAAATAAATTAGTAGTTTAACGTTTTGAGAGATGTCTCCAATTTTGCTATATTCTTATGTCACAGTCACTGATTTCTTCCAGAAGTTTTTATTTATTTAAAATCAGGGGTATTGTTCCCTCAGTGCATACAGCTATGGATCTTTTTTCAATTATTGTCTACTGTTGGGTCTTGCACTTTGCTTACGTGTACAACAAAAGGAAATGCAAGCATGAGATCCTTCGAAGTGAATAAATCTGCCGCAGAAGTTGCTTCTACTGGTTCTTCAAGAACATGGAGTGTAGGTGGTGGTGGCAGTATCTTCTGTTTTACGCAATGAACCAGGAAGGGAATGAAAGAAGCAGCAAGCTACTCGGACACTGGTTCATCCTTCTTCTGGGTAAAGTACCTATAATGAAGCAAGCAAATAACAATAAATCTCCGGATATTGTGTTTTTAGGCAATTGACAACTCAACTAAAGAAAGCAATTTGTCATTTTATCATATATTTAAAATAAAATTGATGATAAAATCAGCTTGTCACTTACCCCTGACCCCTTGCCCATCGAGAGAGTTGATAGAGTTGGACAGTCTCATTTGAGACATGGCATGCCAAAAGTAGATAGTTGCGAGGCTGTACCATCCATGCGAAT